AGGGAAGAGGATAAAGCTAGCCCGCGGGCAGGTGGCGTGGTGGTTAAGATCCCTGCACTCCCGGACCAGCAGGTGGTGTAATGGCTATGTCCCCATGTTGTCGACCGTGGTTCGAGTCTCGGACCCAGTGGTTTAAACTCACACAGGACGCGTGTGCGTGCGTGGTCAAGATCCTGAGAGGAGAACGGAGGAGAAGGGATTGCGGTGTGGCCATCCCCCCTGGGGGGTGATTTCTCGCTTTCTGTCTCTCTGTCTCTGTCTTTCTGGCGCGCACATGCACCCTATAGCAAAAATCTTTCAAAAAAAAAAAAAATTCAAAACAAACACACACGTGCTTTCTGTTTTTAGAGATTTTTGCTATAGAGCAGGTGCACTCTTTGAGAGACAGACAGAAAGCTAGAAATCACCCCCTTGGGGGATGGCCACGCCCCAAACCTTTCTCCTCCATTCTCCTCTTGGGGATCTTGGGCACGCACACACATGTCCACCTGATGTGATTTGCAAGCCACTGGCTCCAGGACTTGAACTGCAGTTGGTCATGTGGGAGTCCAGCAGTGTGACCACTTCACCATCTGCTGGCCCCAAAGCTTGTGATCTTCTGGACCTTGCGTCTGTCAGGTGCCAGTCGAAGATGAGCTGGTTCGTTTCATGGTTGCATTAGCTCCAGGTGGGGAAAATGAGAACTGAAGAGCGGGCCATCCTTCCAAGCTCGTGGGTCTGCTGCGGGGCCCCGAGGGAATGCAATCTGACCCTTGGCACCTGTGCCACCGCCTGACTCAGGGCGCGGTACGACGCCCCCGGTGCCCGCCATCTGAAGCTGCCTCCTGTCTTCAGGGACTTGATCTGGTCCTTGCAGCAGGCAACCAACCAGCAGGGCTGTCAGCTGGTAACTTAAAGGACGGAATTAGCCAAACGAAGGTTCATAAGGCCCCTGCCATTGTACTAGCGTACAGGGCATCACTGTATTTTTTTTTTTTTTTGGAGAGTTTTTTTTTTTTGCTATATGGCGCGTGCGCTCACCAGACAGACAGACAGAGACAGAGAGATAGAAAGCGAGAAATCACCCCCCAGGGGGGATGGCCACGCCGCAATCCCTTCTCCTCTATTCTCCTCTCTGGATCTTGGGCACGCACGCACACGCACCCGGCGTGAGTTTTAAGTCACCGGGTCCGGGACGCAAACCGTGGTCGACTACGTGGGAGTCCAGCGACATAGCCATTACACTAACTGCTGGTCCCATTGTAGGGCATCACTTTTTTTAAAAAAAGAATTCTTTTATTTAACTTAATGAATGAATAAATTTTGTTTTGACCAGAGAGGGACAGAAAGAGAGAGAAAGTGAGAAAGCAAGCCACCAGGTCCGGGATGCGAACCACAGTCAGCCATATGGAGTCCTGCATCCTTAACCAGCATGCCACCTGCCAGCCCCCCAGAACATTACTTAAAAAATTTTTTTTTTCTATACAGGTTATGCTCTTGCTGGGGAGAGAGGGACAATGAGAATGCCCCCTTCTGGCCGGGATAACCACACTACAGTCCCTCCTCCATCTTCCTCTCGGGATTCTGGGCACACCCACACTCGTGCCTGGCACATTTTTTGAGCCCCCGGGTCCCTTGAACTGTACACTCAGCAATGTGGGATCTGGCTGTCTTAACCACTGTGTCACCTAGCTGGCCCTAGGATCACTTTTTTTTTTTTGTGGAGTTTTTTTTTTTTTTTATTTTTGCTATAGGGCACGTGCCCTCTCGCAAGACAGACAGAGACAGAGAGACAGAAAGCGAGAAATCACCCCCCAGGGGGGATGGCCATACCGCAATCCCTTCTCCTCCATTCTCCTCTTGGGATCTTGGGCACGCACGCATGCACACACGCCCGGCGTGAGTTTTCAGCCACTGGGTCCGGGACGCGAACCGCAGTTGACTATGTGGGAGGTCCAGCAACATAGCCATAACGCTAACTGCTGGTCCCAAAGATCCTTTTTAAAGTAGCTACAATGTAGTAAGTCCTTACTCCATCCTGTTGACCTTGCTCCTGGCCAAATCTTCTGGGTACTCTTGTGAGACAGGTCATACCCCCACCCCGTGGCTCTTAAAGCCCTAGCGCATCTGAGCCAGCACGTGGTTAAGGTTCTGGATCCCCGCAAGGCTGATCACAGTTCAAATCCTGATGGTGGCCTGAAAATCATGCCAGGCATGTATGTGTGCGTGTGCCCAAATTTTCAGGAGGAGAATGGAGGAGAAGGGATCGCAGGTGTAGGCAACCCCCTTAGCGGGGATTTATTTATTTATTTATTTATTTTAATTTGACCAGAGAGAGAGAGAGAGACAGAGACAAAGTGAGAAAGCAAGCCACCAGGTCTGGGACTTGAACCACCATCACCCATGTGGGAGTGTCCAGCACCTTAACCACTACACCAACTGCTAGCCCCAGGAGACCTTAACCACTACACCACCTGCTAGCCCCAGGAGGATGGGAGGGGGTGATTTCTTACTTTCCCTCTCACTGTCTCTGTCTCTCTGTCTGGTGAGCACGAGGGCCTTCAGGCAAAAACCCATGCCAGGTGCTGGGTGCATGTGCGTGGATGCCTAAAACCCCCAGAGGAGAATGGTGGAGAAGGGATTGAGACTGGGCCACACACCCCAGTGATTTCTTGCTTTCTGTCTCTCTGTCTCTTTCTGTCTCTCCAGCGAGCACCGGTGCCCTATAGCAAACATCTCTCTAAAATAAACAAAAACAAAAGACAAAAACCTACCTTCTTCTGCAGGGGCTTCTCTGAATCCCCAAGTTTATTACTTTCTCCTTCCTCTGTCTCCGCCCTCCCTGGCACCTGCCCTGTCGCGTCTGCGACAGTGTCCCTGGGGGGTGTGCATTACTGCCCACGCCCCCTTTCTCCCCGTAAGCTGATGAAAGGCAGAGTGTCTGTCAGGTGACAGATGGCAAACTTGAGCCTCAGCGCAAAAGTAACCCGCCCCAGGGGGCGCCGCCAGTGCGCAGAGGGGCGAAGATCTGAAGTCGGTGCGCGTCTGTTTGCAGCCAGCTAACGACGCAGGGTAATGGGGCATCTGTGGGCACCGTCACCCCCGCCGTCTGCGGTTACCCTTTTGACGCTGCAGCCTCAGCTGTTCCCAGGTGTCACCTTCGCCCCGCTCGCCAAAGTACTGGTAGTCGGGGGAGACCAGGGCAGGGGTCGCCAGCAGTAGGAACAGCAGAAGTGGCAGC